TCCCCATCCAAGTTCTCCTATGTGTCCTCTTTTTCTACATTAAATCCATTTCAGAAACTCGCTCTATTTGTGAGAGGAGGACTCAGAGCTCTGGCTCCAAAAAATTCAGTGGTCAAAGTGTATTTTAGGAAGAACTTAGGATGATTCAAAAAACATTTGTTTATGTGTTTTTTGCACGGCTATCTGAGGCCTATGCCGAGGTACAACATACAAGAAAGAGATCAATATTCAAGGAAACATGGTGAGAATGAAGAGTGGTTCCAGAACACCTGTGTGAATAGTGTGTTTTCAGGGTGGTTGCGATGCAGCAGGGAGCAGTGTGAGTTCAAGTGCCCTCTGCACATCCAAGAGAAGACAACCTCAATTTTAGGGGAAAAAAACATAGAGGACCTGCAAATTAATATCATAACTCACACTGGCTCTTTGTTTGCCATTCCTCAAATTTCTCCCTTCTCCTCACTTCCACGCTTTCGTTCACAGTACTTAACAAATGGTCATCCATTTGTTGGGAGTCAAATGCTCTTTACTCATTTAGCCATCCATTTGGCTATGGACTTCTGTTGACAAGATAATTAGCAGTAGTCCAATGACAGGAGACAAAGACCTCAGTCAAAAGCCATCCTGTCACACCACGTCTTCAGAAGCATGCTCTTCTGTGGTTACCCAATGATAAAACATTCAGATTCCCTCTGTGTTGTTAAGAAAAAAAAAAGAAAAAGAGAGACTCTAAAACATCTGGGGCAAAATGATCGGTTTGTTTTTTGGAATTGGAAGTTGCTGTTTTTAATTCTCCCTTTGAGTAGTTTCTGGGTAAAGGGAATTGTATGATCACTAAACTAATTTTTGAGTTATTTAAGCATGCCAAATTATGCTCAAACATGGGGAAGGGAGACACTTTAAGATGCAGGGAGATACTAGTCACTTTTTCTACTGTTGCAGTGAACGCATTTCACACACTATCAAACTGTGAGTGATTCACTGGGTACCAGCTTTTAGGAATGCAACAAAATGACATCCACATAGACGCATCTGGTGTTCAAGGATAAGGATTTCAACAACAGAGAGGTGCAGTGATATAATGAGAGGAATTCACCATTCTGCATTTAAAAAATCTAAACTTGCACAACGATCCATGCCTGATGATATAGAGGATTTTATTTTTTCTTAATTGGGTTTAATATTTCATTCCTTGTAATCATCCTATAGTGCTTAGTCGATAAATATGAACTTGCAACTTAAGTCCAGTATACTTTAATCAATATACTTGTGCCATTGTCTCTAATTCTGTAATGATAAAATGACTGAGAAAAGGTCTAACAAGTAGAAATACAGTCATAGACGTTTGGAGCTTCAAAAGATTCTTTAGAGATTATCTCTCCAACCCTCTCATCTTATCAATGAGAAAATAACATCAACTTAAAAGAGTTGCAATAGGTTAAATGTGGTTACATGAAAAGTGAATTTTCTCTCATATGTTTTCCTACTAAACTATGTGCTCTGTGAAGGCAAAGACTGGGTCATATATGTATATATAGTAATATAGTAGGTCTAAATACAGTGTGTATATATATATATGTATATATATGTATATGTATATATATAGTAGATAAATATATATATGTAGTAAGTACACAGTAAATGTTGAATGAGTAAATGAAACTGAGGCACAGTGACTTTGCAAGATCTCAAAGAGCTAGTAAAAGAGCCCAAGCATCTTGAATACTAGCAGTCTCTAAATGTTCTTATTCTCAGAACTTTTCTATTGGAACCTAGGGAAATAATCAAGTGCCAACATAAGCTCTTTGCATTCTATAAATTTGTGCTTTATATGCTAGCCAACTAATTAAGTTGTAATATTTATTTATTCAAATAATTAAATTTCAAGGTAAGATCTCATGAAAATTATCCTTATAAAAACTTTTCATAATAAAACAGTCACATTTTAAAGTTCATACTCTAAACCATTGTTTTCTCTTTTCTTGTGAAGATGTTATTTCTTGTAAAGAAATTTTAGTAAGAGACATAACCATCTAATCATGACCCATTATTACCTAAAATCTAGGATCTATAGATAAAGCCATTCTTTCAAAACAAAATTTGTATTCACAGTTAGCTTGGAGAAAGGGAATCAAGACTGTTCTGTGACTATGGCTTTATAAAGGCAATCTACTATACTGGGTTTTTGAGAACAAATTAGTAACAGAATTTCTTTTGGTTCTTTTATCTAAATGTATAAGGATCTCTCTATTTGCATAGCCTGGAACATGATTTCTCTATCCAATTGGCTTATAGGTGGCCATACCCTTAACAAGTAGCTACAAATGGTCATTTTATACCTTACAGTGACCTCTTAGTTCTATCTACAGAAATCCTAGCCATCTGTGTACAAAAATATTAGCACCACCAAATTCCTCACTGTCAATAAAATAATCAATTATGTTCTGTAATTGTAAATATGATATAGAATAAAATTTTAAAATATGACTCTGTTCCTTCTGTATTAAATAAAAATATCAAGAAAAAAGAATTAAAGTCATAATTCCGATAGTCTAAAAAGAATACAATACTTATCCGACTACAATATTTCTTTTTAAATAAATTTTGTTCCTTAAAATGGTAATAATCAGAGGTAAATATTAATATATTTGAGAATTCTTTTGTTTCAAACAGAAGATCAAAATAGAATATTGTTTTTAGCTTTCTCTTCATCAAAGTACTGGGAACGAAAAAAGAGTGTTTTGATCATCCAGTTTCCTTCTCTTTGGTCCAAGAAAAATAATGATTAATTTAAATTTCTTAAAAGCTAGGAAATGAGATAAAGGGAGGCAGAGGAGAGTAAGAGGCTTTCCAGCATCTGGGTCTGCTGTATTCATTCTGAAAAACTAATGAACAAGTAAAGAGATGACTACAAGAGGATAGAAGCAGGGGTGTTTATATTTGGTTACTGCAAGCATTGCATATTATAAAAGAGTATGGGCTGTGATATTTGTGTGTATATATATAAATCAGTTGAAAAAGTCAATTTTGCAATCCAGGAATTCCCTCTTCAGGAGGGCAATAAATCCATATTTAAATACAGTCAGCATCCAAGGTCGTTCAATAATGCCTTATTCACATTTCAGAAGAAAACATTCATCCTTTGCTGGAGTAGACTTTTAGAGGAAATGAGCACACACACACAAAATAGCTTACATCCATTTCTATGTTCTGTCCTGGAGGAAAGACATGAGGTGGGTGAAAGCTAATAAAAATGAGTCATTAAAATAAGAGAAACTATAATATGTTTTCCAAAGGTCATTTATTAACAACCTACAATACTTGTAAAAATCTACTTGACTTTGATTTGGCAGTCTCTTCATTTGAGTGGCACATAGGTAGAACATTTAACATTGCTGCAAATCATAATGTTTTTTTAGGATGATGTTTATTTCTAGTTATTTTCCTTTAGCTCATTTTTTTCTCCCTAAGTTTACTTATTTTTCTCCCTTCTAATTTTTTTTTTGTGTGTGAGGAAGATCAGCCCTGAGCTAACATCGATGCTAATCCTCCTCTTTTTGCTGAGGAAGACTGGCTCTGAGCTAACATCTATTGCCAATCCTCCTCCTTTTTTTTTTTCACCAAAGCCCCAGGAGATAGTTGTATGTCATAGTTGCACATCCTTCTAGTTGCTGTATGTGGGATGCGGCCTCAGCATGGCCAGAGAAGCGGTGCGTCTGTGTGCGCCTGGGATCTGAACCCGGGCCGCCAATAGTGGAGTGCGCGCACTTAACTGCTAAGCCATGGGGTGGGCCCTCTCCCTTCTAATTTTAAATTGACTTCACTAGTTCTTATTCAGTATAGTGCCTAAAAATATGAGGCTAACATTTTTAGAGACATTTCAACAGCTACAAAAGGTAAATTCATTTGACAGAGGCAAATCTGATCAAAGTCACAAAATAGGGTTTCATCAGGGATTTTTGCAAAATATGGCAAGGAATTGTACATTGAGAGAAGTAATAGCTACCAACACTAAGTTGGATCCATTGTATATGTTATATTACTACTTCCTCATGATAAATCAGTAAGGAAGGTATTAACACACATGCTAGTTGAATATGGAGACTGAGGTTTGGTGAGGTTGGAAACTTTTCTAAGATCACATACAGTTATTTAAAGGGCAACCTAGGATTAAAAAACATAACATGACTTCCTCTAAGACCCATATAATTTCCCTGCCACGTCCCAGATCATAGAGACCAGTTAGGCCAATCTCCTCACTGAGGCCCAGGGATACTGAAATGATTTCCCTGAATGCACACAACCAGGTGATGAAGGAGACAGGCCAGACCAATCCTGGTTTGCTTCATTCTACTATATGATTTTGGCTTATCTTCAACTGTGAGACACAACTGAAATAAGGTGATCTTTCTAGAAAACTGATTTCTGACAATAGGCTCCTTATCTTCTGCTATACCTAGCCTAATTGAAGCCCTTTTAGAAGTTATATCAACTTTACAGGCCAGAAAAACTGTTACCCAGTTATCACTGGGTAACATTGCTTCATAAATATAATCTTATTGGACCTCAAGAATGATCTTCAACGTCTATATCTATAAGGGAAGAATAGAGATGATGATGAAATATTCAATTCTAGTTAATTGGCCAGGAATAAAGTCTTTCTTTATCCCACCTCTTCCAATTGTTTTATTCATTCCCACATTCAGTTGCTCCATCTAGCACATTACATCCTCTACTGGTAAGTATAAATAAATAGACATCTTTATTTCCTAATGGAACAGCCTTTAATCATTAAAACATTTATAAAATCAAGTGTACTATTAGTAGACAGATCCGTCCTTTAATTCAAGTGTAGTAGAAAAAGATGTGGGATCCATGCCACTCACTACGCTGCTCTGGAACCTTTTTTCACATGGAAGCCACCATTCACTTAACAAGGTGGATGTATGAGCGAAAGTTATACGTGTATACGTAACGAAATAGTGAACGTTTCAATGACTTACCCTTGAATTAACTACTTCCAGCGAGACGTTCTGAGGCGGGGCACTTGGCACTAAAAGGAATAAACCAAGGTGAGATGGTTACTGCCAAAGCCATGAAAGAGAAACTATAACCCTCTTTAAAAGAAGAAAGCATGTCTTTTTCACAGTTCATAATGATAATTAGGTAGGTTGATCCAGGCGGCACTTCAAAATTTTCCTGCAGAGATGAAAAATAACTGCTTTTGTTTATTTTTTCTCACCTGGTGGGCCTGTTATCCATCTAGGGAGTCCTCAAAACTGTTAGGCAAGAGAGCACCTGCCGTGATACCAAATACTGCCATTTAATTACAGCTTTCTTGCAATAACCTTCCCAGAGAAACCAATAAAAATGCACAGGAGATTTCCTGGAGTGGTTTTAAAGGCTTAAGATATTGTATATTTCAGGATCTGCGTGGTTTTATGATGAAATATGTCATTCTAATGGTCACTCATGCTGCTTAATCTCTTTAATGCAATCTTTATTATCTCTTAAAAAGTGAAAAGAAGAAATACATCCCTTTATTTAGCTGTATGCAATTAAACCTGTGTGTCATAGATGTAAGCAGGTTACCAAATAGCATTCGGTGAATCAATTCTATGAACAAAGGAGCAGTTTACTTTTCTTTGTGGATTTTCCAGGTATTTTGTTTCTCTTGCCTGCATTTTGATTGTCCCACTCCTTCATGGAAGAAGGAAGAACATATATATATTTCTGTATAATACTTGTAATGAATATTTACTGTATTAAAAAGTGAATATTCTATCATGTGAGTAATTCAAAGACAACTAACTATTCACTGAATGGCTGTTATGTGTCAGGCACTGTTCTAGATGTCTTGGATGAATCATCAACAAAATAAAGCTTTCTGCCCCACAAAAGAAATAGAAGTAGCCTTCAATAAATGCTTAATATATACTAATAAAATGAGTAGTCCCTCTTCCTGTTCATGCCAAATTGATGAATTTAATAGATAAGAAATGCTCTCAGCATTTTCAGAAATTTAAGGGCCATTTTTTTGTCATGTTCCCCTTCTTTAAATTAAACTTGGACAATATTTATGCTTTGCTAGGGTACTTAAATCTTACCTTGAATTTACTTATGCCTTATTCTGATTTTACCTTCTGAAAAGTAATCATCATGAGGGCATGACATATGTGTGATTAATCCTTTTATTCTCCAAACTGACATTCAGTTAATATTTACTGACTCAATGATTAAATGAACAAATGGATACTTACTTAAATATTAGCTCCTGGACCCTTCTGGACATGATGGGAGTTGTAATCTCTTATGTTGTTTTGATTTTGAACATCTTGTCCTTTTTTTTTTTTTTTTTTTTGCTGAGTGAGATGTGCCCTGAGCTAACATCTGTTGTCAGTCTTCCTCTATTTTGTGTGTGAGCTGCCATTACAGCATGGCCACTGATAGATGAGCGGTTCAGGTCCACGCCTGGGAACCGAACCTGGGCTGCCAAAAAGGAGTGCACCGAACTTAACCACTAGGCCACTGGGGCTGGTCATGAAATTCTTGTGCTAGTGCTTGATAAAGGTTGTAGCCAATGTAGCTTGTGATAAAATACTTCCAGGGGCTTGTTTTTCATTAATTAGGTCAATAAATATTCTTTCAAAAATATTTCATAATTTAGAAAATAGACTTTATTATTTCATTTCTTTTAGTTCATATTATGGTTTTCTTATCAAAAACAGAATATAATCCCCACAGGGACCAGGATTTTTGTTCCTTTTGAAGCTGCATCCCCAGTATTGATAAAAATGTCAGGCATGTGGGGCACACTCAACAAATATTTGTGGAATTAATTAATAGAAAGATTATAAGCTATTATAAAAGCTTTTTCATATTCAGTCACAACAAGCTTTCTTTTTGCAATTTCATTTTTTAAATTAAGGTATAGCATACATACAGGAAAGTGCACAAATCTGGTACGTATGACTGGTGAAGTTGTATGTGTGTGGGTGTGTTCCTATTTAACACCACCTAGCTCAAGATAGAGAGCATTTTCAGTACCCTGGAAAGCTCACTTGCCTCTCTTCCCTGTCAATACCCTTCTACAAGTAACCAATATTCTGACTTCTACCATAGGTTAGTTTAGCTAGTTTTTGAGCCTACTAAAAATGAAAGCATAGTGTTGTGGCTTTTTTCCAGGCTGCCTTCTCTTGCTCATTATTATTTCTTGAGATTCATTCATGTTGTTCCATGTGCAGTAGTTCTTAGAGTTTTTGTTTATTTGTTATCGCTCCATAGTATTATAATACGTGACTATTCCATTTTATGTTTATCCATTCTGTTGATGAATAGTATTTGGATTATTTCCAGTTTGGGCCTATGAAAATAAACCTGCTGTAAAAATTCTTGTACATGCCTTTTGGTGGACAATTGTACTCATTTCATTCACTATATACCTATGAGTGGAAATACTGGTCAGCGTGGAAACCCCTGTAGGAGTTAACACATATATTAAGTTTTAATAGATACAAAGTTTTCCAAAGTGGTTGCACCAATTTACACTCCTACTAAGAATATATCAAGGTTCTAGTTGCCCCATATCCTTACCAACACTTGTTTATTTCAATCTTTTTAATTTTAGTAATTTGGTAAGTGTATAATATTTTTATCTGCTTTTCCCTGAGGACTAGTAATGTCAAGCATCTTTTCACATGTTTAGTGGTATTCGGATATCCTTTTTTGTTGAGTTCTTAAAGTATGTTTTTATTAACACTGATCAGTTCCCCCCAAATCTCATCTCTAACATTTTCATTCTTTTATATATTATATTCCATTTTCATGTTACTGTTATTAAAACGTCAAGATATTTATTCTCTCTAAAGCGAAAATAATCAGAAGGACTCTTCTGCATCTGGCAACATTTATATCTTCTCATCTCTATAAATGTTATGTTAATGAAACAGGACTTCTCTGAACTACCTTCACAGACCATTGGCCATCTCAGTCCAGTATCCAGGAAAGGGAAGAATGCAGAGGCTTTAATATGATGATCTCTACATGTTTCTTTGAAAGAGGAAAGATTAAGAGATAGGCTGGAAATAACAATGATGTGTGTGGTCAGAAGCACTAAAACTGATATCCTCACAACGAGGAAGAATTTAATATGATCCATATTCAAATTATTCTGTAAAGCATTGAAAATTAAAAGTTCCACAAACTGAAAAAAATGGTATGCTCTAAATCATATAATTTCACAAACTTCTGAAAAATATAATTCTTTAAAAGCCAAGTTTGGAAATGATATCAATATTAAGTGATGATAAATCACTCCTTAAACACAGAAAAATCTTTCTAGTTTATATTCCACATGGTATTGTGATATTTACATGTCATATTATACTTTACTAATCATATTACACCTACTTTTTGACCAACTAAATCATATCAAAATATAATTTCAGTAACACCGGCTGAATTTATGATAGGTGATTGAATTTTGGAGGAAGAAGGTAACAGATTTATCATGTTTTGTTCTAGGTCCTGTGCTAGCTGCTATGTAACCCTCAAATGTTATTTTAATTTAAGTTTATAAATGTCATTTAACTTTTCATTTCCAGAAAGCCAAGAATACATAAGAGAAAAGATAAATACATATTCTTCTTCTGTTAACTACTACAATTTGAGAAGTATCAAGATTATTTTCTGTGTTAGGAATTGAAAGCCAATATAATAAAATCCCAAAGATGGTTGTAACAATGGCATTGATGTATTTTGTCTATTATTTTTATAATATAACTTTCTCTTACTTTTTCTTGATAGCACACTGATATTCTTGCCTTACATAGTCAGGAAAGAAAGTATAGAATTTTTTCTACAGCATTTTTAGCTATCAAGAGCCACTCTCCTTCTCACTATCAGTTTCCATATTATTTAGAGATGAATAGATACAATAGATAGGATCATATGCTTGGTGGAAGTGAGTAGAATCCACATTTATCTGGACTTTTTTTTATTTGTCTTCCCAAGATGTTTCATTGCCTCAGGAGGCGGAGGGTATGGACATAGTTCATTGCTTTTCCCCTCAAAATGTCAAGCAATCTATCATTTACAATAGGTTCATTAAAGCCAATCAGAGGTGTTTGGTGTGGAAATTCCCCTCAATATGGCAGAATATGCTGGTTTGCAACACATGATGAGGATACATTCTGTGGAGTAGGTAAAGTTCCCACATTGGTAAATTAATCTCCATTCAGACAGGCACTTGAATTCCTTCCCTGAGCAAGTATGCACTGTCCTGTACACATAATTTATGGATTGAAATAATTCATATATAATGATGAGCTTTTTACTTTAAGGAATTAATAGGGGAATTTATTATAGACTAAGAGAAACTCAATATGTTTTCACATTGAATTCTGCCTCTTTACTTATGGGCTTATGTGACCTGGCTCTGCTGCTTACTGGCTTTTGTGACCTCTTTCTATATTAGTTTTGTCATCTGTAAAGCAGGGAAAATTATAGTATCATGAGGATTAAAGGTTAATTATGAAAAGCAATTAGAGCAGGGCCTCACACTAGTAAGTACTCAATAAATATGAGTGATAACAGTAAGACGCACATTCCTATAGTTAAGTTTGCCTATGATATCAGGTCCCTCTGCTTTTGCACACAGGGCAAGCTGGCATGGACACTCATAAATGTTAATTCACTCATAACATCTGTTAATGACCTATCTATCTCAACTAGTTCAAGAGACAGTGTTTGGGGACAACCTGGCAAAAGTAGTTACATCCCATACTAAATTTGAGGCTGCCCGGATCTGGTGCTCTACAATCCCAGTGGTTTGAAGAAGTGGATCATTGTAAACCTATGATACATTAAGTGGAGGAATTTGAATGAAAAACAATGTTTCTTCCCAGAAAAACAATTAAAGCAGAGCTAAACTAGACATGACAGCTCATCAGGATAAAAATCTTTATAAGCATCTTAGCATAACAGGGATGTCACTGGGATAATCAATTGAGAAAAAAATTATTTGCACTTCATTTTTGTTTTTATTCAATTTTTCTATTGTCCTAATATAAACTTTTTTTTTTTTTTTTTGCTGAGGAAGACCAGCCCTGAGCTAACATCTATTGCCAATCCTCCTTTCCCTTTTTTCTCCCCAAAGCCCCAGTAGACAGTTGTATGTCATAGTTGCACATCCTGCTAGTTGCTGTATGTGGGACACCGCCTCAGCATGGCCCAACAAGCGGTGCGTCGGTGCACGCCCGGGATCCGAACCCGGGCCGCCAGTAGTGGAGCGTGCGCACTTCACCACTAAGCCACAGGGCCAGCCCCCTAATATAACTTTTTATGATAAGGATTTCTCTGACCTGTTAAGAAATATGATGCTCTCTATAACAGAGATGCATTTAGACACAGTCATATATTAAACTAGCCACACAAACGGGAAGACCTAAAGACTATACATAACAAACAATTGTACAGGTTTGGCTGAACTATCTTATTATTTCAATAAATATTTACTGAGTCAAGATGAATACAGACATGAATGTAACAACACCCCTCATTTTAAGGAACATATAGTATAATGAGGAAAAGAGACATGTACATTGGCATAGATAACATTTATTAAACGCTTAAAATATGCCATGCTCATGTTTTAGGTGCTTACGTGGATTAGCCCATTTAATTTTCACAACTCCCTTTTATAACATTAAGAAAGTCAAGGAGAAGAAGGATGACTGAGGACTAGAAGTAGCTGCCTATTAAATGTGATTAAATACATCTACACATGATGTGTGACCTGAGCGCGGACAGCTTCAGTAGAGAGGAGAGCACATCAGATTGAAACAGAGAGAGGGGGACTGCAGAATAAGGGAATGGGAGCCAAGAGTGCAGGATTTTTCCTTGGAAATTAAAAGGGGTGAGTCAATTGTAAAGATGAATGCAGACAAGGTCAGGGAGCCTAGTCTAATGGGCCCATGAAGTTCCTGCTTCCTCCTATCAGATGCATCTGATAGAGGGAAGTTAGCGTCCATTGCACAGTGATGCATGTTGGATTAGGGTCGTGAAATTCTTCTATTAAGTGACAGGCATTTTCTAAGTCCTAAATGTTGCAGCACTTCGAGATGATAATTCTTGGACTTATGAGTAATAATCTATCTTTCTCACTTAAAACATTTAAAACCAAAGTGGAGAATAAGGCCACAGTATTATAGTTCAGAGTGTGAATGAAATCTACATAATTATGTAAAATATTCATTTTCATTTGTTTTCCTTTTATTTTTATAATTACAAGTTGTGAAGTAATTTATTCTGCCAATAAATATTCTGTTCTGTCTTGAATAACAGAATCAGATGGATGGGCATAAAAATTACATTAAAAATGATGCTGAAGTGGTGTCACATATAAAATATTTTTTTAAGTTGAAATTGCAAATGAGTATTACTCCTGTTTTCTTTGCACTGCCCTTAGTAACGTGCATGCCCTTCCTCATTCCATTGATATTGTGTGAAATATCCACACAGATATGTTCCCAGATTAAAGAATGGTGGATTGGTCAAGGAATCACAAGCTAAGGTCAGTTTTTTTAATTCAAAAGATCAATAATATATAGAATTACACACGCCAACATGGAAACTGTTGCTGAAAAGAAATAGCTTCTTGCCTTTTTACCATTTATGGAGGTCACATCTCTGCATTTCTGCACCTGCCTGAATATTCATTGGCCCCACATCGTATACTTTGCTGTACTTTATTTTTGCTTTTCATTAAATTTCCCAACATTTCATTACCACCCGTTTCTTAGATATCCAGTTTTCTCTACTACTCCTTTGTCAAATCCATCCTCTTCATTGAGATTTCTTCCTCTCCCTTTATGGCATTTAAGAAAATATGTTTGATCTTTCATTTGTTAGGCAAGGTACAAATAAAAGTATACATTTTTAATTTTAATACTTTCAATGCTGGATTATTTAGCCTAAATCTGTATGATGTATTTCCAAATTAAGAAATATATGTAGGAAGATTGTCCATCATTTACACTTTAAATTATCTACCTCCTTTTGGAACAAGAAACAAAAGAAACATGCCAATGTAAATTAGTCCACACACCTGCACAAATGTGTTTGTCTTTATAGAAATAAAGAAAAACAGAAAAAATTATTTTGAGCTCTTAGACAGTAGTTACACTTTGAAGATTACCTTTTAGGACATCCTGACTCAGAGTGTATACCTTTTGAAAGTTTAAATTTGACTAGATAGATAGTTTGAGTGAATTAGCCAAATTTCTAATTTATGCTAATATATCCCATAAAGTTTTAGTTAGGAAATATTGAAAATGGAATCTATGACATTCATACAATATTATTTCATTATTATAACAAATATGTGAGTCAAGGTTCATCGGCTGGAACTTACCATCAGAAAGCGTAACCACTGTTATATCATCAGTAGATACTCCTGGCCCATAGCGATTATAAGCTAGGAATCGAAGAGTATACTCCGTGAATTTTTTCAGGCCTTCCAGCTTATAAGACAGTCCATCAACTTCTATATTCTGGAGACATAAAACACCAAAATTGTTATTCAGGAGGCACATTAAAGCAGAAATGGCAGCCATTCTGTACAATCAGTGAATTGGATTTTAGACTCTTACAAAACTACACTCTAGCCTTATAATGAGTTGTTGTAAAACCTCACTTGTGACACACACTCCCCCACTAAAGCCTAAACCACTCTATAGACTCCTAGTTAAAATAGCACCACGCTATTTTTACAGTCATTAAGTTCCAATTTGTTTAACACCATCCAATACATTGAATGGCGTGCGGTGTTCCGCCCACATCGAATCCTGACAGGCAAAAGCAGCTTGTAAATCCATGGGAACAGAGAGCTGCTCCTGTGCCCTAAATGGAATAATTCACCAGGCAACAATAGATCTCTGCCTTCCCTCAGTGAAATATACCCTCGGCTCTTGAAACTGACAGATACTTTGCCACAATTTTTATGTCTCCACGTGCCATGAGGTAGTTCCAGACTGTTTTTCAGCTCTTCACAGCTGCAGAAATGAGGTTCGGGAGGTGAAGGTCGCTGAGAAATCAGAGCCAGTTTGCTCTAGAAGACCCATTATTTAGCTCTCCACGATGATCCTCACACTCACATCCATCTCAAATAACATTGTTTTTGAATTTATTTAAACGGATTGGTGAAATGCATTATTGAAGAACTAAAATGTGTTAGAAAAAGGTGGATAGAATAGAGAGGTGAAAATAAGAGCTAAATAGCATGGAGATAGCAAACAAACAAAAAATTGAAATGAATGGTTACACGGGTGGAGCTCTTAGTAATTCTTATCTTACAATATAACGTGGGACTTGAACTATTTCTGAATAGGACTATTGCAAAACGTTTTTTTAAAATGAAAAATCTCCATCATGCAGTTTATGTGGAAGCCTAAAGACAACATTATGCTTGGCAAACTTCACAACACATTGTAAGAACTCCACTATCCCAAGTTCAGCTCTGGACCTTTCCTATTTAACTATACACTTGTCTGTATGTCTTTTTCCACGTGAAGTTCAGAATCTGAAAGCAAACATTTCAATAGTCATATATATGTCACAAAACAGAATTGCTGAGGTTCACGTGTCTCCCTAAAGACTTATTTACTCTTACTTTACCTAAAAACCTAATTTCCCTTTTTTCAGGTGTCTGAGGTAACCACAGATTAGTAGCAAAATATAAGGAGGAGGGAGGTAGCCTTCTGGAGTAAGGTGTACTGAAAATAATGAAAAGTGACAGGTAACAGCCCGATGGTGAGGAGAGGACAGAAATAACATCAAATATATGAAAAAAGCAATTTGGCTGAGGTCATTGAATATGAGCTCAATCATCCCTGAGGATAAGGACGGAAAATGCAAATGCTTTCTGGGACCAGATAGTTTAATAGAAATGTGGTTACACTGGCCCAAGCCACTACCTACTGGAACAAAAAATTGGTGTCCTTTATACCGATGTCATCTTATTGCCCATTTGTCTCTATCACCACAAGAATTCAATTAAATTGTGAAAATTTTCCAATAAAAATACTTTAAAACTGATCAGCTCTCCAGTTAATGGGCTGGACACTGGACTGTATAAAGAGCCCGCAGATCTCCTATTTCTCCAACCCTAGAGCCATCCAATCGGTGACAGCAGTGGGGACCATTCCCTTGCCTACCTGTTCCTTCCCCGTGGACACTTCAGTGCAGAACAATCTGTAACCTTGGACTGGACCATTTGCATAGGCAGGGGGTTCCCAGGTAATAAGAATTGAGGTAGGTGAGGTAGATAGAGCTTGCAGGTTTTCTACTGGCCCTGGAACTTGCACTGTATACAAGAGAAATTGATTAGTATAAGAGGGTTCTCTTCCTTGAAAAAAACAAAATTACATCTTTCATAGTTCAAGGAAATTATAGCAGCATGTACTATTTTTAGAACCGTATAGAATAAGAATACAAAAATATAAAATATAATATAAAGTAACAAAATTTTAGAATCATTTCATTGTAAAATTCAGAAGAGGACTTATATTAACCCAAATTACTTATTTCATTTTTACAGTTGAGGAAACGGGTCAAGGAATATGTGACTAGGATAACGGCAGAAAAAGAAGGAGATTCTTTATGTAATCTAAATTCTTAGTATGGAAAATTTTCCACTACGCCAAAATACCTTTGCCTGTGTATTGCTAATAACTGCTGAAGGAAAAGAGAAAATGCAATTAGAACTTGTATATCATGATTCTACTTATAATTCAAATGGGCAGCACAGCCATGGATAATTTACCACATTGTCTTTATTTAAGTCAGCATTTTAAAATCTTTCCCAATTCTAGGTCCTTTAAATTAATTTCAGGATTCAATTTTCAATTTCACTTTCCAGTATTTTCTAGAAATACCAGAAAATTTTCTCTCATAACTATTTTTTTTTTTTTGTGAAGATGATTGGCCCTGAGCTAACATTTGCCAATCCTCCTCTTTTTGCTGAGAAAGACTGGCCCTGGGCTAACATCCATGCCCATCTTCCTCCACTTTATATGGGACGCCGCCACAGCATAGCTTAACAAGCAGTGCGTCGGTGCGCTCCTGGGATCCGAACCAGCGAACCCCGGGCCACCGCAGCAGAGCGTGCGCACTTAACCGCTTGCACCACCAGGCCGGCCCCTTCTCATAACTATTACTTCACTTAATCAAGGATAAGTAGTTTGCTCATTAAAGAAATTAGATAGCAAGTCCACAATCACTTAACCATAACACTTGTGTCCAGATGTGTTTTGAGATCCAGAAATTTTCAGATTTTGGAAAGATAAGATGGTGCATATGCAGTATTTTACGTAACACCTGTAGTTGGGTCTGTGGTAGCACTTTGTTATCAAATCACATATTTATAGCAAAACATATGACATTCACAGCAAACAGGATAATTAAAGACTATACATAGCCTAACAAAAGGTCAGGTCAGGTTAGAGTATGAAATGAGTTAAAAAAATCCTTCACGAGCTGTGGCGGCGTCCCATATAAAGTGGAGGAAGATAGGCACAGATGCTAGCCCAGGGCCGTCTTCCTCAGCAAAAAAAAAGAAAGAGGAGGATTGGTGGATGTTAGCTCAGGGCTGATCTCAAAAAAAAAAAAAAAAAAAAAAAAAAATCCTTCAGATTCTAGATTAGCAAATTTTGAACTTGTACATACTTTTTGTTCGTGCATATAGACCTGAATGTAAAGATATGGCTTGTAAATTGTGAATGCAATAGCCGTGTTAGTTACTGTAATCTAAAATAAATAAATAGTCTTACCATTGCAAGAATAACACCAACTATAACTTACACGTTCTACGTATTCTCCCAGGCTTGGATACCAAAGGGCTTTGGACAGATATACACTTTAAGCCTCTAATACAACTCCAAGTTTGAACTTCCACAGCAAAATAGTGTATGAAAACCTGGCTGACATGATATCTGATGATACACTTAGTTCAGCGTAGAACCTATGTCTCTGGATCATTTTCAGAATTTGTTCCATGGAACCCAGACTCTTTCAGGCGCTGCTACTCACACATTCATTTTGAAAAACAAGATTCATATCAGAAACAGGTATTTTATGTCACCTTCACATATTTTCCCACCAGTCTCCAAATCTTGAGAATCCTTGTTATTGACAATTGCCTTCTTTTCACTTTAACAAGTGATTGTTAATGATTTCATAAAAGCTTATTTGGAAATAATTTTAAACCTACAGAAAAATTTAAGAATCAGAATAGTACATAGAATACCCATGTTCCCTTTGTCCAAATTTACCCATTGTTAACACTTGGCTCTGTATACTTTATCATTCTCTCTCTCAATCTCTCTCTCTCTCTTTCCCCCTCTCTCTATTCAGATTAAGTTGCATAGATCATGGTTCTTTACCCTTAAATGCTTTAGTGTATATTTCCTAAGAATTAATGTCTACATGAATAATATAGTTATTAATTTTAGTGCATTTAGTATTAAAACAGTATTTTTTTTTTTTTTGGCAGGGCAAGATTCACCCTGAGCTAACATTGTTGTCAATCTTCCTCTTTTTCTCTTTTTTTTTTTTTTGTCCTCCCCAAAGCCCCAGTGCGTGGTTGCATATCCTAGTTGCAAGTCATTCTAGTTCTTCTGTGTGAGCTGCCGCCACAGCATGGCAACTGATAGACGGGTGGTGTGGTTCCACAATCAGGAAGCGAACCCAGGCTGCTGAAGTGGTGAGTACCGAACTTTAACCACTAGGCCATCACGGTTGGCTCTAAAACAACACTTTTATCTAATCTTCATCTGTATTTCAATTGTGTCAAATGACCCAATAATGTCATTCATGAGGCATTTTCCTCTCCAATTCAGGATCCAGTCTAGGGTCAAGTTTGCATTTCATTGCCATATCTCTTTAGTTTGCTTTAAAATGAAACTGTTCCAAAACCTTTCTTTATCTTTAGATCATTTACGTTTTTGAAGAATATAGTCCTTTTCTTTTTTGTTTAAATAGAATGCTCCTCATTTTGGGTTTGTCTTTATTTCTTCATATTGGATTTAGTTTATACACTTATTAAATGAAACATAAGTGATGTCCATCCTTCTCAGGGCATCACATCCAGAGGCACAAGATCTCTGTACCCTCTTTTATGTTAATATTGAGTACCTGGTCAAGGTGCTGTCAGATTTCTCCATTGTAAAGTTAACTGCATCCCCCTGCATACCCCCCACCCCAGACCCCTGCTCTCCGCTTACAAATAATAAGCAATCTGTTGTGAGATACTAGGGTAGGACCATGTAAATATCATGCTCTTTATCAAATTCTCTTAGAGTTAGTGTCTACTAATGGTTCTTGATGGAATCCAATTTACCAGAGTGGTTACAAAATGGTGATTTTTTTCCTATTCAATCACTTCTGCATTAACTGCTTGGCACTCAGCATTCTATTATAAGCAAGAGCCCATGTTTGTCTCTATTTATGTATCTATTATCAGTATGGGCATATGGATTCCTACTTCCTTATGGTCTATAATTCACTATTGTCCTTAATTATTTTGGTGTTCAAATTGTCCCAGGTTTGGCCAGTAGGGCTCTCTTTAAGCTGGTTCCTCTGTTCTTGTGACGTGCCCCGTTATTTACTGGAGCACCTCTTTTCTTTCTGGCATAATACAGTTCAGGTTCACCCTGATCCTACCCCAGCTCTGGAATCAAACATTTCTCCAAAGATTTCTGGCTCCCTTTAGTGGGAAATGGTATTTGAAACAAAGATCTGGCTGTTAGCTGTGTTCATTGCTACTTGGGTGTCTTTGCCTCTAGATCCTTTCAGCGAACAAGAAACATATGAATACATGCACACAGACACATACACGAATGTTTACGTGTGTGCATATACTCAAATATACAGACACATAGGCATAGTTTTCATTACTCTACGGAGATGCCTCCCATTCCAGTCCATCTCTACAGAGTTCGTTCTTGCCTTCTCCATTCTTCTTTTGTGTGTCCTTTCTTCCACGGGGAGAGCTCTGTCTCCCAAACAGTTGTATTTTGACAAAGTGTCCCCACCTTGGTACTCCTCGGAAGGGGTAATTTTGCCGTGGAAAATCCCCTATTCCACAAAGGGGACTTCAGTAGACAACAGTGAATAATGGAGAGTCTTGTCTGTGTCAAAGTTTATAGTGATACAATTAGAATTGTGTTATAATGAAGTAGATATATTGCTCCATGGGAAAAAAACAAAGCAAAGTAAAAACTTGCCCACAGATGTTGTTCAACTGTATTTTCAAAGTACAATATTTTAAAGAACAATAATAAAAAACAAATAATTTTCATGCTTCTATGATTACCTATATATTCACAAGGACAACGCAAACATTTCAAGAGGGGATATTTCTGATTTGGAATCCATTATTCTTCTAAGGAAGGAAGACAGAGAAAGGAGCAAGAGAATTGAGATCAAGTGACCTGCTTAAGATATACGTTGATTATGAGGTAACCAGGACTTTGAACGCTCACACAGACCATACCTGTGCAGCCGGGTGATGTGTTAAGTATTAACTGAATGTGTTCCTTCTTGCTCTCCATTGGTTAAACTGAAAGAGCACTGCTTACGATGAACAAGGCTCACTCTCACAGCAAAGATTCAGATTTAAAAATGGCCACACTTCAAAGTCATCACTCCTGCTGTGAGATGTAACACATTCCAGGAAGGATTCCTAGAGCAAAACCACTGCAGGAGGTGTCTAGGAGAAAGGAAGAGGAGGCAATGTTTGGGGAGTTTCTGCCCGTCTGCTCCACTGGAGCACAATGAGGTGAGGGGAAACAATTCAAATTGTCTTCAATTTTTGAGGAGCAAAGAAGTGGAAAATGAATTTGAACTTTATCTGAACCATCACACGCATAGTTGGTGGCAACTTTGCTGAGAAGGCAGGGGTGTGAGGCGTGCCCATGTCACTCTGAGAGTTTTCTAAGGATCTGAGCATGGCATGGGAGAAAAGCTAGAAATGACCCATGCACCCAGAGCAAGCTACCTTAGAATCTGGAAGGACAAGCTGAGAGGGCCACCTAGCATTGTAGGAGTGTGGGGTGCACGGCCCACGTGACTATGACTGTTTGAGTAGGTGGGAATTAGATATCTCAACTGCACAGTCACTTCCATCAGGCGTTGTGGGGAGAAGAGACAACAGGGATGCTTGCAGCTCAAGGCAGCACCCCCACAAGAACAAACATTAGGCCATGTTCCTCCCCTGATGAGCCCTGCTTAGTGCCCTGGCTGTTTGTTGGGAGAATAGTCAAAATCCTCCATGTAGTTTCCCAACTAATAGGAGCAGCTGTCTTC